TAAATTAAATAACAAACAACTCTAGTGATGATAATATTATTTTGAACCATTCTGAGTTTGTTGATCTTTATTATTATAAAAAGTATTTGAAAAAAAAAAATAAAATACGTATAACTTTTATCTATTTGTAAATAAATAATATTTTTAATAAAAATAATTTTATTATTAGTTAATAATAAATATCTAATCATTTTATTTATTTATTTATATAGATTTTCATTGATACGTGATAAATTTTAGGATTTCTTTAACAAACAATATTTTGTAATTTTGTTTATGAATAAATGTCTGTGAAAAAATCTATTTGTGTAGAACCGAAGCAATGAACTAAGTTTTAATCAAACAAATTAATGGAAATTGGCTATCGTATAACGTATTTGCTTGCGAGGTGACATACAACTAGAAAACTTTAATGGTGAAATCATTTAAAACGCTTAGACAAGGTTATTCGTTTTTTATAACCCACTCAATTATTTAGAAAATAAAAATAATCTCAGAAATATTTTTTTGACTTTTCGTGACTACGTATATTTCTTATCAATTATTAAGTACTTTTTGGGTTTATACATTATAAAGAAATCAACTTAATCTTTTTAAATGGCCTTATACATATTTAACTAGCTTATAAAATAGAAAATGATGTAATTAGGAAAATGACGGTCGATAACTACTTTTGGACCAGTATTTCAAAAGTTATTAACAATTTAAAGTAATGACTGGAAGTAAAGTGCGAGTGCTGCTATTTTTATCACTAGACACTTTTCATCCGTACCTCTCCTTTCGTTTAGATATAAAAATGTTAATAACTTCTGAAGTGCTGACCCAAAAGATATTATTTGCAAGTCATTTTCTTGATTAGATTATTATCTAATAAATAAGCTAGTTAAATATGTATGATCTACCGAAGAATAAGCTCTAGTTGCTACCCTTGTAATACATAAGTGATGGACAGAAAAAAATCCTTCATGATTGATAAATCAAGAAATATATATAAATATATATTATTGAAATAATTTTTATTTAATAATTCAGTGTGTTATGATAAACGAATTACCTTGTACATAATAGAGAAAAGTTTTTTACTCACTCTCGTTAATTAGAAAAAAAATCGTATCGCAACAATCGGTTTGGTATCTTTTTTTTTCAATGGAGATGCTGTTACTTGTATTATTTTGTACTGCAAAAATGTCCAATTGGTTTTATGAACTTTTGTAATTTTATTGTGCAATACTTTCTAAATGATAACGTTTGTCAATCGTAACTTAAGCAAATGTATCTGGCGACAATTTTTGTAAATAACTACAAAACGAATTACGACAAGGGTGCAAAATTTATTTAATTAACAGCTGGTAACCACCTGACCAAAAACATTTTCTCATTTAATTTTATAATAAAAAAGTATTTTTTATTAAGTTTCTAAGCGTTAACCGCATTATGTTTCACAAAAAAGGAACATAATATAAAATGTTACGCATTGTATTTTATATAATAGAGCTAAACAATTTTTTCGGAACTAACGGTAAAGTGGTTTGGCTTAACTAATCACACGCGTTATAATTATGCGGCCGTTGGATCTGTTGGCTTTTAAGGTTGTTTACCGCAAAAAGTTGGTCGAAACGGATAGCAAACAATAATTCTGTAGTCAAAATCGTCCTTCACCCAAGATTACCGTAAACAATCCCGACACCTTTTAAAAGGGATTTGTGACATTTATTAGTGCTGTGGTTGTAGACACGTACAGCTTACATAGAATACCAGAGACAAATTAGTTACAAAAGTTACACAGTTGAACAATATAACCAAGTAAAAACTAGAAAATCATTAGGGCGTTACGGTGTATTTATGGTTTTTGTAAATTTCGAGGTAAACGACTAGCATTACATAAAAAAAAAAAAATGTGGACAACAATAATATGTTTTAATAAAATTTGTATCGATAAATATTACATACATTTAATTCAACAAAACATTAGTTATCAAAATTAATTGAGAAATAAAACTAACATATGTTGAAAATTGTGCGATGTTGTCAGTGGCGTAGTGTAATATGGTAACGGTTGAAAATGGTTCATGTAAACAGAGTTTTTAGGTTAACAGAATATTAATTATGACAATGGTTATTTTTGGTCATTTTGTGATAAGTAAAAAGTGTACTATGAATTATTGTTGTGATACTTGTTTATTTAAGCAATACAATCCAACCTAGTTACTAAGTAACCAAATAGTTCAATTTAAGGACAAATAATTTTTCAAGTTAAATATTTATCAAAAAATAATGATTTTACTAGATATTTTTAATATAAGATTAACTTATAACTATTACACCTCATTAAATATTTTCCAGTTAATTTGATCATTTATATTAGGAGTGTAGATTATTTTTAATTTAGAAGAGGAGATCCCATCTCTTCTCATTTTTGTTTAACTAAATATGTACTATAAACTTGTTAATAGAAATATATAATTATGATAAACACTAATGATTCATTTACTGTCAGAATTAATTGATTCATTGTTTATTGAAAAATTAATTATGAATTCATGAAATTTAATATAATAACAGTGTTTTTGACATTCAATTTGAGAAAACTAACTATAAATAGAAAAAATAATTTTTAAATATCAATCCCAGTTATTGTCGAATAATGATTTAAAACTACAAAACTAACTCAGATATAAACAAACTTTTAATAAAAAAAAAAAAAAACTGAAAGATAAAATAAGTAATATATAAAAACTAAACAATAATATCAACAGGATATATAAATATATATATATATATATATATATATATTTGTCAATTTTAGTTACATAAAATGTATTATTGTTCCAAATAAAATAAAAAAATATTTTGCTCAATTTGTTAGGTATAACATATTTGACACGAACATTTTTATTACTCTTTTGGTATAATGTAAATTTAATAGACACTGTATTTTTTTGCAAAGTTTGTGTGTGACGTTTGTTACCGCGAACAACTACAATGCGAAAATGTACTGAACCATTTTGTAGATTCATTTTTCGTAAATGAACTGTTATCTACTTTCAACGCATATATTATTTTATTTTCATAATGATAAAGGTCGATACAATGTTCAATATTTGTATAATACCCTCGTCAAAACTTAAAATAAGCAAATGTAATGTTTTGATTGCGTTCTATTGTATAAAAAGTGTTGGTAAATACACTTTTGCACGACTTTTTATGTAAAACGCGACAATTATTTCAATTATTAACTCTAAAGGTGCCGGCACCGTTTTTGGTTTCATCACTTTTGTCCATCCTGTCTAGGTCGGCCTTCGGAAGTAATTATTTTCTCTTTTGAAAATAATTGCACGTGCCGGGAATGTTGTTGAGCTGAAAAAGCTTATTGTGAAGAATTTCTTATTCTTTCTTGGCTTGCATTTTTTTTTTGTCTGCTGCTTGTGTGACGAGAACAATCACCAACGTTTTGTCTGTCAGCCAAGAGCACCGTAGAGACAGTAGTTTTGGACTCGCACTAAAGAGGAGTGGAAAGGACGATGTTATTAAAACTAAAAGCCATCGGTTTTATCAGGCGGTGTGGTGGATAGTGGTTGTTAACGGAATGATGCTTTGTCCAACAGCCATTATATGTTGTGCATCACTCTAACGGTTTCCTTATTGTACACCAATATATTTGTTTGAGTGCTTAAGAAGTATTTATATATCACTAAGATACTATTTGTAATTGTTTTTAAACAAAAATATTGTTTTGCTTAATTTCAATGCTCTTAATATTATTTCAAAAAATACCGTTACTCTATAGGCAGTCCCACGTTCACGTCTTTCAGTTTTTACACCGTACAAACTTGGGAATATTAACTTTAATAAAATATAATTTACAATTTACATGATATTTTTATACCAAAAATATCTATGTAAATCTATATTGTGCATAAATTTGAAATTTTCACATTTTATCAATTATTAAGATGTACTATATACTTTAGAAGAATAGGGCGCTGATATATTGTTATCATTTATTACCTGTATACATATATGAAGAAGAGGATATTACTATTTTGGTATTATATACTAGATAACGAGTTTGAAATTATAAAGTAAGGTAGGTGTACCATATATAAATATAATATAATATCAAAAACAATTTGAAATTGGCTTAATTGAATTAAAATGTTCGTATAAAATAAAAAACAATGTAATAATCATTTAATTCATTTCAGAGCTATAATGAAAATACGGTACTGATATAATTCGCTTGATATTTTATGATAAAATAGGTTTCGGTAATTAACTAAAGGATTGTATTAGTCCTTTATAAACTTTTGCTGAGCATTATTCGATACAGGTTCTCTACAAATGAAATTAAGAAGTAATAACTGTAATAGGATTGAGTCTTGTTATAAACGTACTCGAATAACTAATCATATTATTTACTTTCATCATATTTGTATTTCGATAAATCATCATCGTTTGATACGCTCTCTGTCTCACCAACAATAATTTTAAACTGTCTAAATAATCTTATCATGTTATGATTAGACTTTTATTCGTCGTTTTAAAGTTTATCGATTTTTTCAGTATTCAATTTACGATTGCCGTTTGAATTTTACATGTTATTTGAAATCTCACGTTTGAGCGGCTGCTAAATAAATTATTAGTAAGATGTTACGTTGTTTTATAGATGAGAAGCACTTTTTTTATTAAACCAAAAAAAAACAGTTTAACACGGCCGCCGGGGATTGACGGCCGGTCCTAGAAAGTGTACCGGAAATCGTGTAAAAAATAAAAAAACACGGTACGAGATTAGAACTCGCGACCCGAGGCAAACCTTACAGAGACAAACCTTATGGAACGTCTCCATCCACTTATGATTCAGATACCGATACGTTTTCAAGTAGGTCGATAACGCGGCCCAGGGAAACCGTGTCAAGTTACATACTTGAACTATTTCAAAAATATTTCTATTAGTTCAATTCTAAACGGAGGTGCGACTAGAATACAAATGGTAAACTTACCGTTCAATCGTTACATAAACTCCATTGTTTTCTGAAACAGTCAGTAAAACTAAATTAATTTTACACGTAAAGATGTACTTTATGCGCATAAGTATTTCGTGATATGTCTTAGTATTAAGTTATTGCGATACACCATATGAAATCACCTGTCAAACTAGGTCACTTATTACGGATTACCTTGAAAAGGAAATGTTTTTTTTTTTTATTATATTCCATGGTATAAAAATGCCATATTCGCAAAAATAATTAATTAATGATAATAGTTTCGGGGATTATCTTGTGATTATTTTTACTCGATTAATTTAACGGCATAAATCTTGTTTAGGGCTCTAATACGATGCATAAAATTACCATACCACTTTGTGCGGCCATATGATACAGTTTAATAACGCACATAAAAGGGAATCTTTATCATTATAACGAATTAATTACCATATCGGCGTCACTATAAAAGGTAACCCGGCGATTATGACGAGTAACTCATTGGCGATTAAAACTGACTTAAAAGATGTGATCATTTGAATTTGAGTACGCGGGCCGGTTCACGACATTTTGACAGACTTAATAACTTTTGATCCAGCGAATGTTTCGCGTTACTTATTTTTTTTTAATACTTCTTACAGTTTTAAACTACGGCAAAATTATTATTTTTTATTATTCGCCTCGAATAAGAAAAAAAAATTTTTTTTTTTTTTAATATCAAAACAGCAACGTCTTACAAATATTTCACGATAATTACTTATTGATTTACGAGTATTTGATACATCCATTGATTGGGTATGTAGCGCAGTTGGAAAACACCAGTGTGACCGCACCCACCTTGAGGAGACCGTAAGCGAATAATTCAAACGTGTCCAATTAAATAGTGACAATGTTGGAGACATTAATTACTCGTTTATAAAATAGCACGGAAGCGGTTGTAAAAATCGTTCCCGTGTAAAATACTCCTCGTCCAAAAGAAAACTTGAGAATGTTACTGAAATTTACCTAAAACCCGTTAGATTTTAGATAAATTCTAAAATAAGTTGTAAAACTACCGACGTGCTTGAAAAATAAATAAATTAAACAACATTATGTGTTGTGTTGGTTTCACAGTTTCAGAAGAAAAATACAATTTTGAGTACCAGGAGTTCATAAGATTCATCGATAGTTAGACAACGTTATCAGGGTCATATATCGTTGAATTATGTCGGTGGACACCTTCTCGGTACGTTATCATTACGATTTTTAACGGAGTAGTGTTGTACGGGTGTTCGAGCCGCGGCTTGTCCACTCAAGCGTCCATTAGAGCTCATAAAAGTTGTCCTAAAAACAAAAATGCACTGTGACCACGTGAAATTTATGTATGCTTAAAATGTTTACATCGGTAAGTATCACGTACCGGGAGCAGGTGTCTAAGTGACGTCAGTTGCGACTGTCACGATGCGATATGGTCGTACCGTCTCTTTCTACACCGCCCAGTGCACTAGACACCAGACTGTACAAATAACGTTATAAAAATACGGCCACGGAGAGCTGCTAGACACCTTCTAAAAACATGACCGCATAAATTAGTCCTTATGAGTTCCTGATACTGAATTTCGATATTTCGATACCAAATAGAGTGACACCAAAAGGTAATTCATAATTAACTACTATTACCTTAATAATTCATTGCAAAGGGCGTGTTTAACGTATAATTTAAAGGGAACATTTTTCTTGTGTATGAAATAACTGACTACAAAAATAACTAATTATAAATATTTTGGTGTTTTCACCAATTAAATAAATTGGGTTTTTCGTTAGAAAATTAATTACTCGAAGACTAATATTTGACATTTATTCGTGAATAATTAAATGAAAAAAAATATTTCAAACAAATAACGGCACTCCGAGTAGGCAATTTAGCACCATTCTGGTATGTTTGTCTTAGAGTCGTGTACCATATTTAAACAAATATTAATGTATAACTGTGCGAAACACCGCGATTTTTTTAACTGCATATTAAATCTGAATGGCTAATGACTATACGGGAAGAAGCCAACGTTAATGGAAGTGTCAATAATTAACCGCTAAACGATCCAAGTGTAAAAAAAATAATAATAACTTATAAATAAATGGTGTGGCTAAAGAACTGCATACAGCTAATCGACCGATCCAACCGTCGATTAATTTTGAACAAAAATTTAGACATCACATTAGTTGTACTGAGCATTTTGACGAATTAGTCGTATGTACGGTGTACATACACGTGCAGGTTAGTAAATATAAAATTATGTACAGCCGTTTCGCTTTATAGTATGTCGAAATTATGCTTTCCGAGTGTGCGTATTTGGTCACTCGTTAACCCGTATATTTAAAAAAAAAAATTAATTTTTCAACTAAATAAATGGGATTCGGTTAAGAAGAAGCACGTTTGATTGCTGTAAGGTCTCTGGCAAGTATGTGCAATGACATGCGTCTGAAGTTAAGACTAATCGAGTTACGTTTATAGGTCGTCGTATAAATGTAACAGTGTTACTTCTAAGTAAATGATACTAATTGGGTTATCTTTCAAGCGTTGACCTTTTCATGTTAATAAGTAAGTATCGAATGAACTGTGTTAAAGACACGTCAAACTGAAAATATAAAACGAGAAAAACTCGCTTCGGTACAACTATAAAATCGTATTTAATCGAAAATTATTCCGTCGAAATCGTCTTCTGTTGTTGGCAATAATAAAACGTACGTTTAAAAATAAAACCAGTATATATATATATATATATACACACAAAGTATAAAACTGAACACGCCGAACTTTATTAAAAAGTTGATATTTCTTATAAACCCGAAAAATTGAATTTTAATAACCAAAACGTAATAAATCGTTATTAAAAGAGCCGAGGTAAAAATTAAAAGCCGCTTCCCTACAAAGCACTTAAGCTCTATTTGTGGCCTGATGTTATTGTCGAGTCATAACGTGCAAGTCGCGTACAGTTGATAACTTTTTAATTTATCGCTCCGGCTATTTATTTGTATTCGTAAACGTTAAACACGGCAATTAGCACCGCGTTGGGAAAATTTTCGGCGGCTTTACACTATGAAATAAATTATCGTTTGGCGGAGAAAATAAAAATTAAGTTTTCGTCTGAACCTCGTCGAGTCACGTCAGTCCGACCGGTTGAAACGTTATAATATTGTAATTTATTCATTTCTAGCGGATATTCGAACGGCAATTAAATTGGCTACTATTTGCGTTTATCTACCGCCGTTTAGCACTATCCCTGCGACAATTCGCAGAGCCCTCGACATATTAAATACCCCGAGCCACTCGTCTATTTATCACGAACGGGTTACGGGCGCTGCGGTTCCACTGCGGGCGGACGATTTTGTCAGCGTTTCGGTATTGCGCCGCCTGCCGCACCGCACTCGAAAGGCCTGGCAGGGGGTCAGGGGAGGGAGGGAGGGAGGTTATAAATTTAATAATCCCCCGAAACAATCGGACGTCGGATTCTCTACAATTACAGCGCTCTCTCGTCAAAAATTATAACCCGTTCAAAATCCTTGCCGGCAACTCCTAAACCCGAACCGCATTGCCCGCCGAATATTATTACACTATACAAACTCGATTGTATGAAAGCGCCCTGCTATCAAACGAAATTGGACGCCTATTGACGAATTCCATTCAGCCTTTATTTGTACCTCGTGCACATACAGCCGGCAATAGCATTACAAATATTATCATCTCGGCAGTGGGGAATTTTCACGAACAAAATCAATTCTGCTGAATGGTAAATCAATGATTTGTCTGTGTTTCCACTTGTTACACTTTTCATTAACACACGTCCATTGTATTCTAATTTATTTGACTCAGTCATAACTATATATGATTTATTTGTGTTGTAATGAAGTGTGGCGAAGTGGACACTTCAAATGATGCCAAGTTTTGATATTAATCTTCGCCTGCCGCCGCCATTGTTAGCTGTCGGATTGCTACGAACTCTATGTGTCAATGGTACAGGATTTTGTAATTCCCTTTAAGTCCAGTCTACAATGCACCAGTGTTGGAAATCCACTGCCGTAAACTAACCTAATGGTTGCAAATGTAATAATAAAAAAATGGATTTACCGTTGATTTTTTCTCGTCAACATTTCGGGTCGAATAGATATTTTTAAAATCAATCTCGTATTTTATGGGAAGTATATTTTCTGTAGAAGGTTTGAATAATAATTACAGTCGAAAAATATTTAATTAAGAGGCAGTGGTTTATTTTATTTAATACTGCGCACTTTATAATAACATATACTTTTGAAGAATTTCACCTTTTTCTTTAAGTACATAGGAGAAGAATTTCCTCGACTCATAAAAGTGGAATCGAGTTTAAGTACATTTCATATTCTTAACGGAAAATATGGATTTTTATTTTAGTAAGTAAAAAGTTTCGACACCTTGAAACAGTCTCTTAAAAGTGATGTCGTATGCGTAACTCAATGCTAAAGTTTATACCTGAATGAATTTTTGTATATTTAATCAGAAAAAAAAATAGAATTGTAGAAATCACTCGAACCAGACGTGCACATTTTTTTAATACTCCGAGTTAAAACCTTACCATAGAAATATCGCAACGCTTAACTAGTTGTTTTCTATAGCCCTACGGAACAGAATGTTACTTATTGACATTTGAATATTCTCTTGATTTTAATTACGTTGTGCCATTGAGTAAATAATAATAATTTTTATTATGTAGAATATTGTTTAAAACAGAACAAATTAAAAAATATTTTCTACGCTAAAAGTGTGAACAAATATTTCATTTCGGCGAAAAATATGTCAAAATATGTACATTTTTATGAACGGCGCATTTTTATTTGTCAACTAGTATTTATTCGTACCTCTGAAATCTTGTTCTTTTACAGTGACCAACGATAGTGCAAATCAAATTTGTTGATCTGTAAAGTGCAAACATACAAAGCGTTTTATCAAAACAAAAACCGAATGAGTATACACAGTGAGTATTGTGTTAATATTTTTTTACACTCAGAAAACCTAACTGCCATGAAAGTCAAAAAAGA